GTCTCCAGCACAAATGGGTGAGTGAGTTCAGTTATATACACTGAATTGAACCTTTGGCGCTAGGAATCAGAGCATTTTGTCACATAGCATTAGCACGTACTCTAAAAGTGCGTAGCAAAGGACTAGAACCGCCAGCGTTCAGAAGCAGCTTTGTCAACTGGGCCATAAACACTCTGCAGCATGTCTCTCTGTTGTCCATCATCGAATTCACTGGTAGCAACTTTGAAATGGAAAAAAAGAAAAAAAAAAGAAAAGAAAAAAGGAGCTATAACCCCTTTTATTTTCTCTGTTTAAAATCAAACAGAGAGCAAACATCAATCCTGTTATACACTAGCGTCTTCAAAGTGCATTGTTTGTGCAGGAGAAAGACCAGGAACAAACCGTGTTCGCGGAGTCCCAGCACGCGGGCAGGCCTGGCGCGGCGTCCCGATGGCGCTCAGGGGGCCACTCCTCGCCGCTGGCACCGAACAAAGCCGCAGAATTCCTTGCCAGGTACTTTGGGAAACCATGGAGATAATTCAGTAACAAAGCAAGGCTCTTCTCACCCAAAGGGGTGTAGGCCGACACGGCTCCGATTCGCACGAATAATCTCAGCAGGTGTGGCGCTCCAGACGTGGGCCGGGGTGCGCAGGGCACCTGCAGAATCTCGGGGTGCTGGGGGCTCCCACGCTTGCAGGGCCGCGGGGTGCCCGGCGTCGCGTTGACGTGCTCTTCCGTCCCTGCCGCCACTTCGCTGACGGCATGCCCCTGGTCATCTGTGCCTCCACGGGGTTTCTTGTGACTTGCACAGTCCTCTAGAATGGAGCCCACACTCTCCTTGGCAGGAAGATACAGCAGCTGTTCTTGCCGGGTCATTAAGTCCCAGTCGTCAACAAGCCAAGGTTTAGCCCCTCGGGAATCTTTACTTTAACTTCAACTCTGTTCGTGAATGTTTCTTCCTTTTCAACAGCAGGATCTCCCGGGCCCTTGCTTCCGAGGGGGCCGAGGTGACTCGCCGGTACTGCCACCATGTCCACTGCCAGGTGCTTTCTGCTCGTCCTTTTTTGTTTTCACGTCAACACTTTCCTGTCGCAGACCGGATGCCGTCTTTCCCGTCTCCCCTCTGCGCACTGCTCCCGATTGGCTTTTCCAAGTTCTCGCTGTTTCTGCAGATTGGCGTCCACAGATTTGAGAACTCTGCCCTCTGGAACCCACTCATCCCAATTTTTATTCCAACCACTGTAATGTATAAAGTATTTCACTTGTTTGTCCTTTATGGCGACCTTTACACACTTTGCTTCATAAAGAAGAGGCCCATGAAAGCTCAGTGCTCGCTCACCCTCCTGGAATTTAGGCTTCGGAACCATTTATAAGTGATTCGCCGCCTCCTCCCTCTCCCACCACCCCCAAAGACCCCCCCTACTCTCCACCCCACCCGCTCATTGTATTTAGATTTTGTATAGTTTTAAATTTCATTTTTTGTTTGTTTTATACAAAACACTTTTAACATGAATTGTGTGTTGTGTGGGTGTGCATATGTGTCTATCTGTGCACATGTGTCTGTGTGCATTTGTGTGTGCACATTTACCTGGGTGTCCATTTGTATTTGTGTGTGTGCATATTTGCATGTGTGTGAACAGATGTGTGTGAACTTGTGTTTGTAGACCCGACTCTCTGCACATGGATCTTGCATTGCTCGCCTGAGATGCATATGAGAGTTTTTCTTGAGGAGGTAACTGATCCTGCGAGGAGACTGAATGTAAACATTTCTTATCTTTTACGCCATGTATTTATTTGAATTTGCATTTACTACATTGTAATTAAAAGTGTTATTCATTAAGGAATTCATGAGAGTATATGCCTTTTGAGAGCTATTTCTGAGGTCAATGATAAAACAGAGTGAAGATTCGTGAAGGACACAGGAAGAAAGCCAAGGAAAGAAAGGTGAGTGGACCATATAAAGTCCATATATCCCGAGTGGACCATATAAAGAGAGAGGCAGGTAAAGGGAGGGGATAGAGAGGGAGGCCAGAGAAAGAGAGAGGAAACGAAAGAGGAGGCGAGAACCTGAAAGAGAACGAAGCTGATGTCATAGGGTTTAAAGGGGGGGCGACGGAGGGAGACAAATAAGGCCATAATGGAATCGGAGAGAAAAGTGAGGAAGAAGGGAACTCGGAGAAAGATACAAATCAGAAGAAACAGGAAAAGGGAGATGGAAAATGTGAGTGGGGAGGTATAGAACAGCAGGGAAGAGGGTGAGCGAGTGCGTCGGAGGGAGAAGACAGGGTGCCAGCGAACAGAGGAATGAGAGAGGAGACGTCGAGAGAAGGAAGGAGAAATGCAAGTTATGGAGAGTAAGATGGGGTTAAAATGGCAGGGAAATCAGACAGAAGCGCACACACAAAAAGGATAGTAAATGGAGATGGAGTTAGAGAGGTAGGAGCATTGAAAGACAGGGAGAAAACGAGACCAAATGTAAAATTGACAGAGTGTTAAAGGGAAGTTGAGTTATTGATTATATTCTCACAAGTGGACATACAGTATAGAGACCCCCTTTAAACTGAGAGTTCCTTGCATCCGATACATTTTGATTTAGGTATGTTTATAATGACTTAGTTAAAATATTTTTGAATTGCTCTTTTGGGTTATTATTTGGCCTTGGGGCTTTTTCTTTTGGGCCTTGGATTATTTAAATATGAATTGTTTAAATTCTGAATATTTGGGAATTTTCTTTTTATCTTCTATTTAACTTATTGATTTGTAGACTTATTCCACTGCATTCAGAAAATACACCATCATAAGTTTGTTTATTTATTTATTTATTTATTTATTTAGATACAGAGTCTCACTTTGTTGTCCAGGCTAGAGTGAGTGCCATGGCGTCAGCCTAGCTCACAGCAACCTCAATCTCCTGGGCTCAAGCAATCCTCCTGCCTCAGCCTCCCGAGTAGCTGGGACTACAGGCATGCACCACCATGCCCGGCTTATTTTTCTATATATATTAGTTGGCCAATTAATTTATTTCTATTTATAGTAGAGACGGGGTCTCGCTCTTGCTCAGGCTGGTTTCGAATTCCTGACCTTGTTTAAATTGAAAGAAATTAAACAAATCATAAATAAATGAAATGATATACTGTGTTCTTGGGTTAAAGTATTAATATTATCAAAATGTCAATGCTACTCAAAGTGCAAAGTGATCTACAGATTTAATTCGATTGAAATCATAAGTGTTTTATTTGCAAAAATAGAAAAGCCCATCCAAAAATTTACATGGAATCTCAAGAGAACACAAATAGCTCCCCCCCAAAAAAATGGAGGTTCATACTTCTTGACTTCAAAAATTATTACACAGCTAACTGTAATCTAAAGAGTATAACACTGGCATAAATATAAACATATAGCCTAATGGAATAGATTAGAGCACCTAGAAATAAACTCTCACATCTATGGTCAAATGATTTTTGATAAGGTTACCAAGAACAAATATTGGGGAAAGGACAGTCTTCCACAAACGATGCTGGTAAAACTGAATATTCACATGCAAAATAATGAATGCATACCCTTGGCTTACACCATATACAAAATTTACTCAAAATGGGTCAAAAGCCTAAATGTAAAAGCAAAAACTATAGAGTTATATGAGAAAACATAACATGAAAACTTTATAACATTGGATTTGGCAATGATTTCTTGGCTACAACGCCAAAGGCACAGACAGCAAAAGTAAAAATAAATACACTGGACTACATCAAAATTAAAACTTCTGTGCATCAAAGAACACAATTAGCAGAATGAAAAAGATGCCCATGGATGAAAGAAGGTATTTGCAAGTCATGTATCTCAGGAGGGGTTAATGTCCAATTATACGAAAAATCTCCACAGCTCAAGGAAGAGAATTGGAAGAGTACACTTCTTTTCACTGTGACTAGTCACTGTGACCCTTGTGTCCCATCTCCTGGGGGACCCTCACTCTCATTCCACAGCAGTGGAAGCAGCAGAAACCTGGGCATGTTGGGGGAATATGGTGATGGTGTCTTCCTTCTCATGAGAACCCTGACCCCAACTGCAGAGTAGTGGGGAGTAACTGCAACCCCGAGATTTGCCAGAGCACAGAACACGAGAATCTTTTCCATGGGATAAAAATGGACCCTACTGGAAAGAGAGAGAGAGAGAGAGCTTAAGATTGAGTCTTACACCCTGCTCAAGTCACTCGCCTGGACGGGTTAATCAGCACTAGGTTTTCCACCTTAAAAGCTCTGTCCATCATAGGCCTGGGAATGGTTAGACCCACTGCTGTCTCGCACCTGTTTCGTGAGGACAGTCGGGCGTTTTATAGACTCCACAGCCTACCGGCCTCTGGGCCAGCTCAGGCAGAGGGAGATGCTAGCAGAGCGGAGAGGAGGTCATCCTGTTTGTCCTCAGATGCCATCTCAATCAGGGGTTGTCTCTGCCCTTGATGTTGGCTTGTGGGCTCCAGTAACTCCAGCTTCCTCCACTGTGCCTCCATTCGTGGGGCTGGTAGCGGGTTCCACATGGAGCCAGTCTCTGTATTGCCACAACATTACATCTGAATAAAATACTCAAAGTGGATTTTATATTTCTCACTGGACATTGACCAAAGTGAAAGCACAAAACAAGAACTATGCACGTGATAAATACCATGTTTCCCCCAAAATAAGACAGGGTCTTATATTTCTTTTTCCTCAAGAAGACACCCTAGGGCTTATTTTCAGGGGATGTGTTATTTTTTTTTAAGTATGGTACAACAATCTACATTTATTCAAATATAGTCAAGTCGTCTTCTTCTGGAACATCATCATAACTCTCCAAACCCCGAATTCCATCCTGAATGTCTTGCGATTCTATTTCCTTTAGAACCATTGGCCCCAATCTCTCATGTCGAACCATAGAGCTCTCATGGGGCAGATGGGAAGGGCTATGAGTCTTCTTTACCGCTCCACAAGGAAATGCAAGAGTTGTGCAGATACGCTGCGGTAGCCACACCCATCACTAGGGCTTATTTTAGGGTTTATGTTGCCCAAATGCTTAGAAGTCCTGCTAGGGCTTGTTTTATGGGTAGGTCTTATTTTCGGGTAAATACAGTAATGTAATCTTAAGTTTAATAAATTTGGGTACATAAAATTATATTTCAAAATAAAAATTTGCTTTAATAATTGCAACTATTTATAATTTAATTACATAGTGTTACCTGAAATGGTTTACTATGTTTGAGTTAATATGAGCTTTTTTTTTTTTCATTCGAACATGTCCATTGGGCTCCTTTGGTGATTTCGAAAGCAATAAAACTCCTCAATAAACAATAAATTCATGTCTTTGGCCAGCTAATTGCTACTACTCTATGGCTCTAAGTTTAGTAAAAGATTCTTCCATAACATTTCTTCTTAAAATTGGACATGCAGAAGACTACACTGAAGTCTGTTTGTTGTCACCAAGACAATTGACATTGAGGCTTAAAGAGAGCAACTACTTTCTAAACATTACCAGAAACCATTCAATTTGATCTCAGAAAGGAAATGTCTATTTTATGTTTGATTCCCACCTGCATTCTTTTTAAATATCATCTGACATATTTCCTGTGTTCTCCTTTGTCTCCTGCAGTTCACAGTCTCAGTATTGAACTGAAAATACACTAATCTTTCTTTGTAAGCGTTATCATGTCTGAGATGATCACATTTCTCCTAGGAGGTGAGGTATATCTCAGATTAACAACCCAGCCCCAAATATTTGTAATAAATAAACCTTACTTTTACTGCTGGTGTCACCACCAGGGCACCATATAGTCCATTTCCAGTTTCATGAAAGACCATCTGAAATGCTAGGTAACTTGTATTGAAATGTCCTTAAAACCTTGTGTCCAGTTAAATCTTAGGAAATTTTAATATTTTATATGAAAAAATAAAAACTGAAGACTTTTATAGGATCTCTGCATTATTCACAACTTACTGATTGGACTTTGATTTTCTCCACAATGACCCTTAATAAATACACTTATTAATATAAGAGTACTTGTAAAAATTACATAAGATTTTATTTACAATTGCTGTTATTTTTTTTTCTTTAATATTACACCAAAGTATCTAACTCACAACTCTATTTGCAGTGAGACTGGCTTACAAATGTGCTTGAGAATCTGGGAGGCATGAGTACATCAATCTGTGAAGACAGGGAAAAAATACACAATTTATATTTTTCTGATGAGATGAGGAAATTGTACATTTCTTTCAGTGCACACAAAGAACAGCTTGCATACACAAGGGTCACTACTAGAGAGAATAAAGGGACTGACAGTTGGGAAACACGCATAGATGAAGGCAGCTGTCTTCACCAGCCACTGGGTAGTCTTATCAAAAAAATAAAAATAATGGTAAATGATAGCAGAGAGGGTATAAAAAGAGACAAAGGTGCTCACCAGGATGAGGATGCTGTGGGTGGCTCTAATCTCACCGGAGGATCTGGGTGCTCCTAGGATGTGTTGGACCCTCTGCTTGTGCCAGTGCAGGATGGAAACCATTGAGCCACTCACCCAGGTCATGAGGCCCAAACACAAAGAATCAGGAGTGGATATAAATATTGCATATGGTAAGTCTGTGCTTCCACCTATATGGCTAAAGGAAAAGTATCCAAAGTCTACAGTTATGATGTTTTCATTACTTCACCTTCGAATCACATGCATAGGAACTTTGATATTTACCAGCATGTACAGGATCTAGCACCTTATTGCAGGGGCCAATGTTCCCAGAGTTTTCCTTTAAGCCCTGCCCATCTGGAGTTCCTGGGGCTGATTATGATGGCCTGAAAGACACTCAAGAGGCAGGTGGTACTAAGAGAGACATCCCTGGCCACTCTGTGATAGAACACAAGTTTGGGCCAGTCACGGTGGCTCACGCCTGTAATCCTAGCACTCTGGGAGGCCGAGATGGGCAGATTGTTTGAGCTCAGGAATTCGAGACCAGCCTGAGCAAGAGCAACACCCTGTCTCTACTAAAAATTAGAAAGAAATTAGCTGGACAACTAAAAGTTTATAGAAAAATTAGCCAGGAATGGTGGTGCATGCCTGTAGTCCCAGCTACTGGGAGGCTGAGGCAGGAGGATCGCTTGAGCCCAGGAGTTTGAGGTTGCTGTGAGCTAGGCTGACGCCATGGCACCCTAGCCTGGGCAACAGAGTAAGACTCTGTCTTACAAAATAAAAAAAGACAAGAAAACAATTTTGCATCCAACTCACTGAGAAAACATTTCATCCCAAAAGCTGTCATGGTCTCTGGGGTTCTTCTTGAGACAATGGTCAAGGAGTTGGCCACAGTCAGGTGCCTGAGAATCAAATCTGTAGACCTTGGCTTGTGTCCACCGAAGCAAAGGAACATGTAGTGAAATGAAAGTGAGAGATTCCCCAGGATTCCAATGGCAATCTGAGCCAGAAAAATCATTCCAATATTCACACACATGGAGGCCATTCTGTTATTTTCCTGGACTCAATATTCACACTCACAAACACAGGAGTCCGAGTGGAAGTGTGAATTGTGGTCTATTATTTTTGTGGAAAACTAAATCCCAAAATCTCCATTCGTCTAGAATTAGTATTCCAAATGTTTATTTTGTTAAGAAGATTTCCAAGGTTGATATATTTATGTAGGACTTCAATATATGGGTCATTTTATTCATTGTTTATCCAACTTCTTTAATATTTGCAACTCTCTGACTTAGATCTAACATTATTCTCCTGTTACAGACAAGGAATTTTAGCTGAAATGTTATTTAAAGGACTCATCTATATATTTGTAGAGTCAGGGTTTTAGCCTGGGAAGCCTGGTTGCAATGATATTGGTATTTATCATTGTACTATACAGCACTGTTTGTTTTTTTTTTTTTTTTTGAGACAGAGTCTTGCTTTGTTGCCCAGGCTAGAGTGAGTGCGGCCATGGCATCAGCCTAGCTCACAGCAACCTTGAACTCCTGGCTCAAGCAATCCTCTGCCTCAGCCTCCAAGTTAGCTGGGACTACAGGCATGGTGCCACCATGCTGGCTAATTTTCCTATATATATTAGTTGGCCAGTTAATCTTCTTTCTATTTTTAGTAGAGATGGGTTCTCGCTCTTGCTCAGGCTGGTTTTGAACTCCTGACCTCGAGCAATCCGCCACCTCGGCCTCCCACAGTGCTAGGATTACAGGTTGAGCACCTGCCCCCAGCCCTGTTTGTGTTCTTTAAATACTCCAAATTATTCACTTGACATATTTCAAACTTATTTTGTTATATGAGTTTAATTGTGCTGAACTCATTTTTTATAAACATTTCTTATATGAACCAACACCAAAAATCCCAAAGGGAATGAACATTCATAGATGCAGTAAATAATTCCATTTCCAAATGGGATTTACCAAACGTAGGTCAATACTGGGCAGCACCACAATGAACTGTATCTTTTTGGCCAACGGCACGTACAAGAAATTATTGTATACATTGGGGCTTTACCCTAAGCAATGAGTTTGAAGGAGGGTGGGGACATTGTTGGAGGAAGGGTCAGGTCTTACAGGAACAATCTGTGCATCCCAGGGGCTTGGCCTTTATTTTAAAGGCAGAGAGAGCCATTTCAGGATTTTAAGTACCAGTGTAGTGATCACATCTGAAAGCCACCCTGGTGGCACTGTGGAAAATGGGTTAGATAACCAAAAAGTTAGAAGACTTAGTATGAAGTGAGAGCCTATTTTAAAGTATCTATAAAATATTATTGAGGGTGGAAACTAAATTAGTCTTTATTTTAGAATTTAAAATTAAGTAACAAGTCTGCAGATAAAAACATGAAATCTTCTGGATTGAATAAATAAAAATGGAGAAACAAAAGTAACACATGATGAATTAGATTTATAAACTAGAGAAAATGTCCTGAATTCATGTACTGTCTGAATCCCTCAAGTGAGAGGCTAACTTTTGCTTAAAGTTTCCTTCTTAGCTTCAACAAGAAAGATTGTCCCACCTTGATGAATATACTACGAATCTTTCAGAAGGACATAGTATCTTCATTAAAAACATCAAATGTGGGAAGAAAAATAATGATACTTCAGCAAATGCACTTAGTCACATTGTTTATGAGAGAGACGGATGTTTTAATGAGCTCTATCAAATTCATCACATTCCAGACACTTTACTGAAATACAAACACTAATTGTGGAGCTGTTCTTGTGATTTCTATAGAAATGATTAAATCGGAGATTGAATTCCAAATTACAGACTTAAGGATCATAAAAACGGACTTCATTACTACTTAGGACAAATTTCAACAAAGCTCATCAGTAAGGGTTATATCACGGAACATTATAAACAGTTCAAGATGGAGTAGGATGTGGACCTTCAGTCTCTCTTCAAAAGCCAGCCTACGCTTCAAAAGTGTCCTCTTCCTGGGTGGGTTTTCTATGAACAAATGCTACCCAAGAAAACATCCCTTTGGCCGATGTTCACTATCCTGAACCTGACACACTTTAGTTCCTATATAATCTGTCTGGTCTCAGACTGAAATGAATCTCTC